GTTAACCAACTTTAATCAAATTTTTTTCAAGTTCTTTGCATAATTTGTAACAGTAACAAGTAATAAAATCCCCCTGCTCATGAGCCAGTTGTGGCCCACAGGGCCACAACTGGCACATTGAGCACAAGTACAAGATTACCGGTGGTCCTTCACCACTTAACCAACTTTAATCAAAATTTTTTTTCAAGTTCTTTGCATAATTTGTAACATGATAAATAGTTGCATGTGGGCACCCCCTCTTCCACATATTAATATATGTAGTACATCCAAGTTTTCAAAACTAAAATGTGTCCAATGCCCAGGTGTGGCTGGGCACCCCCAGCTTGTACTATAAATAAAGAATCGTTTCCGCACGGGAACGCATCCCAGCAAATGACATTGAAAGTGCGGTATTGAATACCTTTTGACCACTTTAGAGGAGAGTTTATGAGAAATTTCAACTACTGTGCATATAGGGAGCATTGCCGATTTATACGCAGTTGAGCAAGAAAAAGGTGTAGTAAAACCGCATACAGCAGTACTCAACAGATCTCAACAGCACATGTTACATACTTACATTTAATACTAAATCCTCTTGACGCTCTCCAGGAATTATTATGTCGCAATTTCCTTTTTTTCGGGGAATTGGTGGTGAAGAATAGTCATGGAAACTTGCTGCCACACTTGAAAAACGGGTCACAGAAATCAGAAATATAGTGACAAGCTGCTGCTTATTAGTGAAGCTGAATAAAAAACCGGGTACTGTACAGTATAGTATACGTAAACATACGTATTCATTCACATCATATACAGTACTGAAAGTCGGAAAGGTGATGAGGACTTGAATTACAGTCAATTCTTTTATTTTAGCTGATGGCTGATTGAAATTCATGTGCGATGTGTCATCAACTGTTCATAAAGCAATACTCAAGCTCAATCACAATCTCAATAAAACTCAAGCAATACTGTATCATAATCAATATATGCAGTATAACCGCAAAATTTGAATTTCGTTGGATCTATATCATCGCGTAATAATGCGGACTATACACCGACACAACAATTTATTTTACCAATTTAAAGCGTGACATCTAGACTCATTTTACAAAGGCACTCGAGCCATGTTCAGGCATCGTACGGTGTGCGCTGATGCTCACGTAGATATACTGTACTGTATGTGGAACACATGGCATGCGATTCGTTTTGACCGAGGCTCAGTGTAACTGAAGGATTGAATGTGAAGATTTGCAATCTTTTAAGTCGAAATCGCCCGCGTGAAACAGTGGATCAGTACAGCGTGTCTGAGAAGAAGCAGATATTGAAGATTCTGCCTCATTTCCAAACTGCTTTTCTTTCGTAGGCCACGTGTAACTCTCGCTGTTACACCATGAGCGTTCATGCATTTTTTCTGTCAACCGAAGGAAACTTCAGGCGTTCTCCATAAAATTCTTCAGACAGTGCCACTTCCGCATCGCAGTGACGGTCATGCTTTGACGTGTGTGGGGAACGGACATCGTGAACATGGGTCATTCCATGAAAACGAAATCTTATTTCACTGAGGAAGTCCCCCTTTCCTTGAATTCGTTTGCGACAGTTGTGGCATGACGAGCATCAGGTCAGTGATCTTCCGAAATTGAGCTCACGTTCTTTTGCGCTTGCGACTGAGCGTCGAACTGCTCTCAATTTTTTTTCCATTTTTGAGCATTCGTTGGGCCATTTTGGAAAGCCCTTCGTCATGGCCTTGAACGCTATCGTTTCTGCTTTCTGTGTGCATTCCTCATGCCCATTTTCAATTGTACGCGTGTTTTTTTTTTCGCTAGACCTCTTGGATGCCTGAAACGTGCCAGGAAATTCCGAGTGATGAAGTGCTTGGTAACTGCTTGTAATTCAACGAATGGTTCCGGGCATTCTACGATGAATCTTACTTCGAAACTTACGGTACCCGTGAAGGGTCGTAGGTACTTCTTCACCCCATGCTTGCTGTTTCTTCTGGGTTTCGCTGGAATTACGACGATATTCATCGCCGTTGTTGAAGTCGTGATGCACGCTGGAGGAGGTAGGCAGGCCACTTTGATTTTATTGGTGTGCAATATTTTTTGCATGTAACTGACCGGGAATAGTTTCAACTGCACATGTATACGATTCCCACGTGAGTCTTCACGATAATATGTGTAGGATATTCCGGTCGACCACGAAGAAATTAGGTGAGCGATGTGTATTAAAACGTTTCACATTTTTGCCAGATCGAACCTAATCCATGCAGCAAAAACCTGAATAACACAACCTGACACTATCTGAATATTGTATAGTATTTTTACCGTAACATAAAGAACGGCCTGAAATACGTGGTGTAAAAGCTATCGATGCAAGGGAAAAAACGGTGTGCACGATGAAGTAATGCAATATGATAGAATATACTGTACCAACCAAATTATTCAGTGTCTCCAGTTCCTGCAGATGTCAAGGAGCAGAATGGACCTAGCAGATTAATTACTTGCCTCAGCTTGTGTTTGACTGAGTTTTGCTCCACTTCAACTAAATCCCTTTTTAATAACGGGGTGGTCGATTCTAAAGTCGGCTACGTAAAAAAAAAATTGTTTCTTCATGATGTTCAAACATTCGGTTGTTTGTCACGTACTCAACAGATTCGCAAATGTGTGATCGGTATGTTGCCGTTTCTATTAATCATGCGTTCCGCAGAAATCGATTCACCTGGACGGGTTGCAGAAACCAATGAAGCACTCCACTACGCCGTCGTAATAGATGCAGGAAGTAGCGGAAGTAGAGCTTATTTGTACACGTGGCCTGCCCATTCTGGTGACCGATCGACATTGCTTGAAGTGCAGCCGTTGCGTAATGGCAGTGGAATACTGTTTCCCGAAAGCGAAGGAAATGCAGGAGAACCATTGCACATGATGATCACGCCGGGATTGTCGTTCACTGCGACGGACCCGTCCAAGGCAGCGGAGTATTTCTATCCTCTTCTCGATTTTGCTCAACAGCACATACCTGTGAATAAGATCTCGGAAACTCCGTTGTACATTCTGGCTACTGCCGGAATGCGTTTATTGAAAACCAGGTTCGTGTTGCATCAGTTATGAAGCGTCATTTTCGTTTTCTTTGACATATCAGACATTGAATCTTCCCTCGACATAGATATTAAGAATTGTTTGTTGGCGTCGCAAAATGAAGTCTGGTTTCTCGATTGTGAGAACCTGAGCGGCTTTTTGTGCTTTCCCTCATTTTTGTAGACTGAAGTACTGTATATATATATATATATATATATATATATATATATATAATTTTTTTTTCTCTTTTCTGGACGTTGTGAATTTTCAAAAAAAAATTCCGGCGCATTGCTATAAATTTTTTATGCGTTGTAGAGCTGTAATAGCTTTAGTCAGGCAATGCTGATCTGGTAAACCGTGAGGTCATCGCGATTTGTATGAAGTTTATTTGGGCGTTGAGTTCACGTGAGTCTGAATCATCGCCTTATCATTAGTTATGTTAGTCAACGAACCTTCCATATATTTGAGCCGCTGAACATTAGTACTTTTCATTACAGTAGTACTGTATTTGAGTCGAGTGAGATCCCGATTGAGAATTGAATTACGAGGCGTAATTATTTTGTATGAAATCCGGTCTTAGTAGATGATTATTTTAATTTCTTGTGTGCATAGCGAGCAGCAGGCGATCCTTCACCATGTTCGTCGAGGCATTCCAAAGCGCTACAGCTTTTTCTTTCCACCCGGAAATATCGAAATCATATCTGGACGTCAGGAGGGTGTCTATCAATGGATCGCGATGAATTTCGGCATGGGGCTCCTGGCGAACCCACGATTTAAAAATGTTGCGAGACGAGAAACTGTTTTGATTGAGAATCCCGTAGAACCCGATCGACATCTGCACCGCGTCCCGACGTCCGGTATTCTCGACATGGGCGGAGCATCCTTGCAAATCGCATTTGAAGTTTCGTCGTCGGATGAAGTGGAAAAAATAAGGTACCAGCATATGAATTGAGATTTATCGTAGCATGGCTTTTCCACTCTCTGTTGATTGCAGCACTAGAAAGATGAAGTATTTCTTGGAAAGGTGATTCCTACTTGAAAGAAAATGAGATATACGCATATTCGTAGTGTCAACGCAATACTGTACTGTACGTTTTGCTCGGGTTGATATTTCATCTTTTGTAAATCTATGCACATTTGGCCTGCATAGAAAAAAAAAAAAAAAAAAAAGTATGTCGTTTTTCAAGCATGCGGATCAGGCTTAACGGGAAAATTATTTTGATTTGAAGGGTTATAAAATCTAGATGTGCCGTGCGCTAATACGGGGCTTTTTGAATTTATTAAGGGAAAAGGGGCCGATGGAAAGTGAAATACTGCATGTAAATCTTGGTCCGTTCGACGACGACCCGACGCATTTGTATCGTGTGTTCGTGACAACATACCTTGGCTTTGGAGCAAATGAGAAAATGGCGCATCATCGTGAGCGACTCATCACTACTGCCCTGAACTCGTCGAAGGTTCATTTTAGCCAGTAAGATCAACTTATGTTTTGGACGTGCAGAAGGAAATTTTTATTTTATTTTATATTATTTCAATTACTATCTTAGAATTGAGGGTATGAATAAGAATGCTCCGATTCGTGATCCCTGTTTGCCATCCGGCCTGGAGATTACGGCTACGGTCAAGCCCTCCGAATTTCTACCGAAGAAAACCGCGCAGCTATATTTTGGTCAACGGAACGAAGATGCTAAGGGAAAACCAGATTTACCAAAGAATTCTTCCCAAGCTTCCATCAATTCTCACAAGCGTTCTTCTGTTGCTGTTCCCGAAGAAGTAACGGTGAGAAAGCTTTAAGATGTCGAACATAAACTTGAAAAATCTATTTGTTACATAATTCTGACATTTTATTTTCTGAATTTCTTAATTTCATCAGTTTATCCCTTCGAAATGCGTTTCGTCGATTCTAGGTATACTTCACTGGATCCGGGGATTTCGAAACCTGTTTGAAGTCTTTGCAACCTTTGACTAGCAAATGGCGGCGGGAGGATAAAGCGTGTGTCGAAGTTCTGAACTTCTTGAAGCTCAATGCAGCAAAGCATCATAGGAAAGATCGTGATACTGCGGCATTCAAATGCAATCCACGGCCCATTATGACGCCTCCGGGTGTGACACTCTCGCATAGATCTTTTTATGGCTTTTCCGAGTTCTGGTACTCTTCGGAAGATGTTCTCCGACTCGGTGACAGAGCCTATGATCGGAAAACATTAGGAAACGCAGTGAAGGTAAGTTGAGAAGTCACAAAATTTAATCGACGAGGTTAAAGAAATTTCGGAAAGATGGAACGCATTTAATTAGACAAAATCTCCCGAGACTGAAAGTATAGTATTTAGTACAGTATTGCGAGGAAAGCTTTTCCGTGCGTTTCCATCAAATTCCATTGATCGCTTTTTGCCGTCTTCCAATGACAAGGCATGAAAGCGATGCCTATACTAGATATTCTTGCATTGTTTTATTATTTTTTTTAGACTTGGTGTGAAACGGATTGGGATTCCCTTTGGGATCGGTTCAAGAAGAAACTCTACCCAAACAGCGACGAGTCGAGGATGAAAGATGAATGCTTCAAAGGAACTTGGGTACTTGTTGCTCTTCACGATGGCCTAGGATTTCCTGAAGATTACGGAAATCTGAAAACACTTCCGAACGTTCGAGGAGATCAAGTTTTCACCTGGACGTTGGGAGCTGTTCTGCACAAAATGCGCCGTTTCCCGCTCAGGTTATTTGTGCTCACGATTCTGGGAAAATTATACCTTGAAAGTTCGAAGATTTCGGTTGGATTCCCCGATGCATGAACGGCTAAAGCAGAAGATTCTGAATTCGTGGGAACATAGCGGTTATTCGAAAAATATACGATGAAAATCACACGAAAGCTCGAAAAGTCGCCGATTTTTCAGCTCATTAGTTATATTTGGAATGTAGAAATCTTTAAACTACCGTAGTTGAACTCGGATAAAATTGATGAAATTTTGATTATTCCGAATTTCTGCCACCCCGTTTTTTATTATTTATTTTTATTTTTTGTTTGATTCGTACTTGGAATTCATAAAAGACGAAAACTAACTTTCATTAGGGTCAAAAAGAGTGCAACATGGAGATAATGCAGGGAGAGACAATGTCTGTGAAGGACAATTTTTGGAAGGAAAATTCCGTGGTTCCAATTAATCTTTTTTTTATTTTGCCATGTAGAGATGAGCGCGTTCAAAAAACAATCAATAAATACTTCTGACGTGTCGCAGAAATCCTAGTTCAGACGCAGTAAAATCATCATATTTTGTTTTTCTGTTTGTGTCCCAGGGGATATTACGATTCCCAATCTTCTTGTGAAGTTTACCCAATGTGCACCATTTCGTTGAATCTACCAATTGATTATCTTTGTGTTCTCTCCCATCAGAGCGATCGAACTTCGAGAGGCGCAAGTTTCCAAGCTGATCCACCCGCGCTATGTGCACTCATTCTGGAGCATGTTCCACTTGCACAACTCGTTCCTCGTTGTCTGCGTTATCTTGGTGATTGCTGCCATATTCTTCCAGCTGCAACGTCTTTTGAAGCCTTTGTGGAGTCCGGCGACGTCACCCCGTCCGTTCGACGACGCGTGGATACCCATGTTGCGACACTCAATGTCAGCTGCCAATCTCGACGCCGAAGTCGCTTCGGAGTCCTACTTACTTCCCGCAGCGAGGAGGAAGATGCCGCATTCTGCGACAGTGGCGTGGTTTGGGAAATTGTCGCCAGGCTCAAGTAGTTGGAGAGAATGATGACTGTGATACGTGATGGTTATGGGGAAATCATCGGTTGCTTTTGTAAGCGTGAGGTTACTTTTTGCAGTTTCAGTCGAGTAAGAATTTCGCCGCCAGTTCCCAGTTGTGTGTCGATGGATCTGGTGCGGAAACGTAATTAATAGTTCATTTTATTTTCTTGCACGCTACTTGATTAGATAATCTCAACGCGAAAAAAGTACCTCTTGTGATTTTAGACTATTTAGAGTTTAAAAAAACGAAATACAGTAGTTCATAATTTGTTTCAGTTCAGCCGTCCATGAACGTATTCATCTTATGGATGAGTATTCGCTTGTGACGATTCTCGGATTGAGGGTTTGCTTCAATGATAAGCTTAGTCGATTGCCGTTGTAGTACTACTTCTACGCGGACACTACCATCGTTTATGCAACTGCCACCTCATTTATCAGTACCTGTATCGGAAATTTTGAAGTTTTATAAGCTTCGATAATTCTGACTGCATTTTACTGATGTAGTAATATGACTGATTAATTTGGGCTTCTAAAGTTCGCTTTTTGACACTTCGCTTTAGTAAATGCAGAATTTTCAACTTTGTTAGCTTAGCGAGTGACCACAGCTTAACGAGGAACCAACACATATGTTTAATGAAAACGGAAACCGAAAAATCGCGACCACATTTGATATTTCTTTTCTTAGTGTGGATTTCTGAAATACCCCTCGCCTCCTTTTTTCCTCGGTCAAATATTTAAAGAATTTGGCCCTACGTGTATCTTCGTAGGCGAATGGTATCTAGGTACTCCTACTGTCAAAATAGTAATGCCCGGAGTAAATTTCGAGCAAAGATCAGTCCGTACTTGATGGTATGTTTGTTCTGAAATATTTGAATGTTCAATTTTTCAAGTTCGATCGTATAACTCTCGTTATTCTTGCCAACTCTGAGTTGAATAAATAGGAATTTAATGTCCGAACAAATCTGGCAGGATGCCATGAAAACGGTAGTAGATGTTTTACTGCAGCTTTGGTAGTCAGACGGTTAAATGCAGAGAGAAGAGGTTAACGCACTGGTAGCTTTACGGTGAGGGTTCTGCTGGTGGGCTTCAACAGAAATTTTACTCAGGATATGATGTATCAATCCTTGTATTTTGGTTTTCCGGGGTTGGTGCGTTACTGCAAAAGGTTACCTTGACTTGAACGTCATCTTTCGAATTGGCACAACGTGTTTGGAGAACCGTATGGTTTACAGATTTGGGTATGAAGTGTGCACCTGGTGATGTGGAATTGCGCCTGGTTTCTAGTCTCATTTTAAGATTCTAAATTTTGTCTTTTTTGCGGTTATTCGTGTTTTCTTGATATCCTGGTAAGTCCAACTGTGATGAGGATTCGGACATCAGAACAAATTTACCTTGACATGGGATTTATTTGATGGGAAACGAACTCATGAACTGTATCGAAGCGGTTAGTCATGTAATGTACGTTTCGGATATTTTTATTTTTCAGTATTATAGTTGCCAGTTGGTTTTTTTTTGTCATCTCTACTTCGCGGCGATCAGAAATTCCTAATTTTGAACCTGCTCCAAGTTTCTAATTTTTAATTTGATTCTTTGTCGACTTCCAATGGAGCGTTACATCCGATTTCCGTGTGTCTGGCGAAGCTGGACTGGTGATCATCGAATCTTGTTCTTGTTACCATTTTATTTGCCACCCTTTCAAAGTAATTGCAGTGCGATTTGTCTTGAAAACTTTCGGCGAGTTTGACAACTCGAAATTATCTTTCCAGATTGCTTGGATTGTCTCCGCAGATGGGAATGAAACGTTTTATTTCTTGACGATTGTTTCAAAGTTTTTCATTTGCGTTGCTTTGTCTTTTTTTTAGCTCACGGAAAATCGGCCCTTTTTCGTTCTCTGTGGGGCTGAGATACAGCATTTTTTTAATTTATGAGCGTGTTACAGTGACTAGGGTTCACCAGACCTTCCTGTTGGGCATATTACATAATGTGCATTCCTTTGCTCTGAACTCGAACTTCTGGATAATGCAGAATTCTGAATACTGGGTAGTGGTTGAGTGGTTCACTGTGTAATGAAACTAATATGCCTCGCTGTAATTCATCACGATCTTGCAAAGTTTTTGTTTGAAAATATTCATAGTTGATAGAAATTGAATTCCTGTATACTTCAGGTATTTCCTGATGAAGTCATCGGTAAAAGAGTTGAGAGGGGAGAAGTGATCGGACTAAAATTCACGTAATCTTGGAAATTTCAATTTCCCAGCTTTCTGAAGTTCACACTAGTTGGGCAAGGAAAGGAAAAAATCCCTTTTGCCTTGAGTGGAGAAAAGGTGAACATCAAAATTCGTTTTCATTCATTTATTTTCGTTAGAAACCGTATGTGAAATTACTGTATCTTAGTTCTGATGTGGACAGGAACCTTTTAACGAGATTGTGATACTGAACGTAAATTCAGCGAGCAGTAAGTTCAACAAAAATTGGATATCACTAGGGGATTTCACGAATGGGTAGGAATAGAAACTGAAGTATTTCGAGTTCAAACGTATGGAGCGAAAATAACGGCTTCGGTTCAATTTAATTGGATGAGTAACATGAGTTGCTCATTCTCGATGCAATGAAACGATAACTCTATAGATGGGAAGCGGGTCTTCTTAAGCTTCAGATCTTCAGTTTATGAACTGACACTCTTGGTGGTCTTGAACCAGAAGAATATTTCATGAGGTAGCAATCTAGAATGGTTCTTTCAAAGACTAAATGTATTGTCATCACATGCCGACCGTTTCCTGCAGTGATCAATCCGAGGCATATTGTACATCCTGATGCAGGATGGAGCCTTCTCAGATTTTGCTGTACAGTACAGTACAGTACTACGCTTTAATTCTTCGTTGCAGGATTTCTCTGTGGTGCTTGATTCATAGAGAACGAAAAAAATGGATATGGCTACGATCCTGGGAACCCGTCTGCGGCTAACTTCATGATGGCGGAAGGTGACTGTTATCTGGTGTGTGAATTTTCGCATCATTCCCTTGTATTCAGGGGTGAATTGCGATCATGGGGTGAAGATATCGCGATTAAGTTCGCGCGGCGCTTAAAACTGATGACAACAAAATATAAGTTGACGCGTGACGTATTGTCGCGCGTTGTAAGAATCTGTTTCCGTGGTAAAAGTTTGTGCCGCAATTTCTCGAAAGATTTACGCCAACGTGTTGATTCGAACCTCGGAAGTTCAGTCCTCTGTAGTGTGGGTTTTATTTCTCAGCAGATCATTCTGCCGCGCCCGTTTATCTTTCTCATTTGAATCTATCTGCGACTTTGTTACCATGGATGAAGAATACGACTGCGTTGTGCTCGGAACTGGCTTGACGGTGAGACCACGTTTTATTTGAAGGGTTTGCACTTAAATGCAGGGCTTGTTCTCGGTATACGTAGGAATGCATCATAAGTGGAATGCTGTCTGTTTCTGGAAAGAAGGTACTGCACATGGATCGTAACAAGTACTATGGCGGAGAGTCAGCGTCTATCAACCCGCTCGACGATCTTTTAGCTAAATATGGTCTTTCCGAAAGTGCAAGTCTTTACGGACGTGGAAGGTGCAGTTTTTTTTTTAAATCATTCTCTCACATTTCTTCATCGCAGATTCTGATTGCAGAGATTGGTATGTCGATCTAATTCCGAAATTTTTGATGGCCAACGGACAGCTGGTCAAGCTCTTGATCCACACGGGTGTAACTCGTTACTTGGAGTTCAAATCTGTCGAAGGAAGCTATGTTTACAAGGGTGGTAAAATTTCGAAGGTTCCTGCCGACGATAGGGAAGCTTTGAGCTCTGATCTTATGGGTCTTTTCGAGAAGCGACGGTTTAGAAACTTCCTCATTTACGTTCAAGATCTGAATGAGGATGATCCCAAGACTTGGAAGGATATGGACCCTACGAAGACGACTATGTTTCAGCTATATGCGAAGTTCAATTTGGATCAGAACACCCAGGATTTCACTGGACATGCTTTGGCTCTGCACAGGTTTGTGTTCCGCGGTTTACGTTTCATCGTACAGTACAACAAAAAAACCATATGATTTGTTTAATTTTCAGAGACGATGAGTACATTCAGCAACCTGCATTGACTACCATTAGAAGGATCAAGCTTTACAGCGAATCTTTGATGAGATATGGAAAATCGCCTTACTTGTATCCGCTGTTCGGCTTGGGGGAACTTCCGCAAGGGTTTGCTCGGTATGTAATTCAACTTATGTAATACCGAGTAACAGCGTGTTTCAGGAGGCACTATAAGATTATATTCACGAGGTTCTTCATGTGAATATGTGGCAATGTCATTACACACATATTCGCTAATGCTCAAGGCAGACGTTTCTTTAGAAAAATCTGTTTCACGTGCATTCTACAAATTCAGATTATGGCTGGGCGGCTGTCCTGTTTTTTTTCTGAATTGTTTGAAAAAGCTGTTTTGATCGTATAGAATATGAATCTTGTCACAATGTACGCTCCGGAGTCCAAGTATGATCCATACTTGATCATCCAAAATATTCCCTCTGGACATCTACTGGACAAGAAACCACTAAATACAGTAGCGGCTGAACGAAGTTTTAACTGACCATCAACTTGGACCGAGTTGCTCGCATGTCGAAACGGAGTATGCTCCGTGAATGTCCTGAAATACCTGCCAATTATTTTATTTTGAATCAATTTTCAGGTTGAGCGCCATATATGGTGGCACATACATGCTGGATAAGCCGGTTGAAGAGCTCGTCATGGAAGATGGGAAGGTTGTTGGTGTTAGATCTGGAACAGAGGTGGTCAAAACTAAACAAGTTTACTGTGATCCATCGTATGTTCCACATCTCGTAGATAAGGTTAGTCAAGGCCCATCTGCCGTTCGAAGCTTTTAGTGAATGCCGTGTTCTCCCAGGTTGGGCAAGTAATCAGGTGTATTTGCTTGATGGATCATCCAATCCCGAACACCAAGGACGTCAATTCGTGTCAGATCATAATTCCTCAGAAACAAGTCGGACGCAAGTCAGACATTTACGTGTCTCTCGTTTCTGCTACAATGAGTGTAGCTCCCAAGGGATGGTATATCGCGATGGTGTCAACCACCGTTGAAACGGCTGATCCTGAATCTGAAATCAAGTGCGGTTTGGACCTTCTCGGGCCTGTCAAGCAGAAGTGAGTGGGAAGATGTTTCTGTTGAATCGCCTCCGTATAAAATATATTTCTACCCATAAATTCGCAGGTTTGTTATTGTGAGCGACATATACAAACCAAAGAGCGACGGCTTAGACAGTCAGATTTTCGTTTCACGATCATACGACGCCACGTCGCACTTTGAAACGACGTGCAGCGATGTTTTGAATATCTTTCAACGAGGAACTGGCGAACCGTTCGATTTCTCAAAAGTGCGCCAAGAACAGAGCGAAGATCAAGAATGAAAGTTGGGGAAAAGAAAAGATACACACGAGGCAAAGACCGCCTTGCAAGCACAGTTTCAAGAAAATTGCTCCAGTAACTGTTCAATTTCGTCATCCGACAACTGCCGAATATCAAAGCGTTTCGCATATTTATTGCTTCTCACGAACTTCACCTTCGTCCTCCCTGTAGATCGTAAGTTCGTTGGAACCAGGAAAATTACGATTCGCGCTGGATACATTCGCTACTTTCGTTGTTGGTCCTGGCTCCTTTGAACTCAGTGAAGAATCTTGTCATGTGGATGTGATCTTTCCTGTTCAATTCTTCGACTGCTTGTTGGCGTAGTGAGTATTGTCAATGAGAAATTCAAACTTTGGCTGGGCAATATGTATAATCATTTGGCGATTGTCACATAAATGTTCATACCACATGACCGGAATCAGCTTCCTAGAATCGTGCAGAGTATTATGTTTCCGTCGATGCGTTTGCCTTCGTTGGTAAGCATGGACGTGTTAGTTCGTCTTGGGAAATTTCTGTGGGTCACTGTGATTTTTTTTTTTTGACATGATGTTTTGTTTGATACACTTCTGGTGGAAGATTGTGCATGATATCCGATCAGGATGCATCAAGGAATTGAGCTGGCGTTGCTTGGCGAGGGGCTCTGAAAAGCTCTTGCCAGGAAGTGGAATTGTGTATTGCTTAACAGCTTATTTTGACAGCTCCTTCGACGCTTTTTTTTTTCTTGTTCCCGCATTCCAACATGATATGAAATGTAAGCTATGGTGGAGCATTTGCGTCTCATTGAATATGTTATAATTTGAAGCACACGTTGCTAGTTGAACATGATGCACTGAATATACATCAGGTCGGAGATCAGGGTATCAGGCGCTGTTTGGTGATGATCTTGAAGTTCGGCAACTTCAGTTTTCTCTCGCGGAAACGAGCATAAGTGTGATTTGTCAGTTTACATGAAAAAGCATTGGGACTTGACAAGTTGTCGCAATGATGGCAGAAAAGGGATTTTCTCAAGGGAAACAGCGAGTGATGCGGAATAACGTGCTTGAAAGTTGTTATAGAATTCGAAAAGTAATGGTAAGTTGGATTCAACCCGTTGTTCGTAAAAGTTTGATTTTCGTCAGTAAAATATGTTTTAATCATGACAAGATTTCTTTCGTATCTTCTGCAAACAACACAATTTCTACTGTGTGAAGTATATTTCATTTTTGTACTATGAGGTCTAATCCCAGTCAGTATTGAGCCTGGATTTGTTTTAATCTAGGAAATGAAAAACTGTAAACCAAGCTCCATTACAACTTCGGAGACCAGAACGTTCGTCTTCTAGAGAAATATGACATTCGTACGAAATTTGGGATGCGTTCTTGCCTTACCGCTACATACCACGAGGGAGGGCTATCCACGATCGTGAAGAGGCTGACTTGTGCGTTAGAAGCAAAACTGCACGTGATTTTATCCGCAGCCAAATATTGAAAATTACGTCACGTCCATCTTAGATCATTGACATCTTCATGACTTCATAGCCCAACTTGCTTCGAGGAGATGATGACAGAAGCATTTCAAGACCGTCAAGAAAGGAAAGCTGGATTAAAAGATGAATTTCTTTTAGCCTAAATGACTAGCCAATTACGTAGTGAGATGAACTGAAATGCCGAACCACGATTTAAGAACCTTCTTGAAGAGCAGCCATATAAAAATAATAAATACAACTTTGCAGTAAGTATGCAAATGTGATGAAGTCTGGGAATCATGACTTTCCTGTGCCGCTCAGCTTCAGGACAGTGAATGGGTGATGGATAATGCGGGTTAAGCGCCCTCTGTTGGTGAATAACGAGTGTAACATGCGTTTACCGCCCTGTCAATTGTTGACGGTCAGCTGTTGGCCAGGCGTGTGTGGCAGATTCTCGTGAATTTCTTGAAATTGACTACCTTCGAGAGAGTGAGATTCTTATGCCTTCACCTTAACTACCTTTAAATTTTGCAGGCCTGTACCGAAGCTTGCCTGAATTTTGGTTGCTCCTATTTTACCTCTCGCGCGCTTTCATCGGTAGAAAAGCTATTGCGGTTCAAAGTTAAAAGAATTTCTCCATGTGTTCCTCTGTGGATCCAACTTTACCGCGGTATTTTTGGCCGCGTGCGAGCTTCTTCGAAACTTGGTGACGTCCACTACCAGTCCCGAAGTCCTGCTGATGGAACGCGTGAATACCGCTAACGTCAATTCCTCGCATTCTGTTTCCTATGAAGGAATGTTCACGGAATTTCCTGCATCAAGTTCGCCTACTTGCCCGGACTCAACTTCAGATATTTCTTTTTCTGACGTTATTTACTCTGGTATGTCTGGTGTTACTCAAATTCCGCTTCCGGAAATAGACACCCTTCTTCCGCACGGTTCATCCAGCGTTTCAAGTGAGAGTTACTTTCCGTATTTGTTTTTGTAAATGTAAGTTTGCTGTAAAATTCATCAATTCTCAGGTGCGGATCACTTAGATACGGACTCTTGGGATATGAAGCTGGAATCCGAAGCATTTTTGAATCTTGTCGATGGGAGTTGCAGTCTTCCTTCTGCAGAATACGATACTCTTTTAGAACCCGGTCCGTCTTCCAGTTATTCGAGCTCGTTTGTTGTGACTTACTCTACAGCGACCGAAGATTGCGTTGAAAACTTATATGAATTCTCAGACACACCGGCAACCTATCCGAAGACTATAGCCTTGGATTGCGATGTAATCGGTGTTACTCGCGTCATTAGCGATAAAGGATATCCGTCCTTCGTTAGTTCAACCGAACTGTCAGAAGTCGTCTCGTCGACGCGCTCGAAAGAAAGGCCGGGAAAGGAATGCACGATATGCGGAAGAAGTTTTTCAAGGCTTGATAGACACGTCAAAGCGGTTCATGGGGATAAGAAAACCGTTTGCCATTGTGATGATAAACCCAAGCCGGTTTCGGTTCGCACGTGTAGATTTTGCGGGGAAACTTTCAACAAGTATTCCATCCTTCGCTCACATATTCGAATGCAGCATCCAACTTTTGCATCATCTCTCGCTCCGTCATCCAACATTCCGCCTTGCAAATATTGCGGAAGGAAGTTCAGTTCTGAGCAGAAACTCAGGGACCACACAACAGCACACAGCGGCAAGTATAGATATCAGTGCGATATGTGCGACAAAGGATTTGCTGTGGTTACGGATCTTCAGCGCCATCGTAGAACTCACACCGGTGATCGTCCCTATTCATGTGAATTCTGTTCCAAGCAGTTCACGCAGAGTGGCAGTTTGAATCGCCACAAACGAAATGTACATAAGCTTTCAGCAGATAAGACCCATCTTTGAGCTGAGCACCTCATGTGCTATCATCCTTCGTCTGTTCTGAGTGTTCATGCAACTTTTCACCATGATCTCAGTTGCCTTTTATTAGAGTCTTCCACTCGCCTGATCTCGACTTTTTTATTTTCAAGTACGGGTACTATTTGAAAAAAAAGAGGAATTTTCTTTTTGTGATAAGATCCGGGAGGAAGGAAAAGTATGTAAGAATTTCTGTTGGACGATTGAATCTTTCTTTTTCTAAGCATGTTCTATCAATGACCAATTCGAGTCTTCCTTAATGCCTCAAAATTTTTGGCGACGTGTTGTGGGTGAAAGGAGTTCGCTTTCGTGTTACGAAGTCTTCCTTGGGATGGAAATATTCGCGATTTCAGTTGGGTAGGGGAAGGGAAATGAGCCTGTGATTTGAGCGGTAATTTGGAGGAACTTAGTCGACGGTGCTTCCGTTGTAAGGGAAAGATATTCGTTCCCGCGGAAGTCGAAGTCGCCCGGTGGCGAAGTGTAGACGAATATTGTTCATTCAGCCTTCAACGTGATCTTGGGCAACGTTGGAATATCAGCACTTATATGCTTAGGAAACTCAAGAAAGTCAAATAATTTGCAGTTTTACATTTCGTTATCGAATTGTACTTGAGTGCCATTTTATAGGTTGCGATGCCTATCAGGGATACACGCATGTTACGAGTCATTCCGTTTATTTATACCCGATGCAAGCCTTCTTGCAGAAGTCATTTGCTGATTTATTGTCATGGGAAAATATCCCGAGCATGTGTTATCGTTGCGAGGTGCATTATGTTGTTCGTAGTCTTGGAGCCGATTTTGGGGTCTTATTATAATTTGTTGTGGGGATTGACGTGCTTCATTTTCACTATCCGTTCCTGTGATCTCTCTCTGAAAAGGCTCTTTCTGTCATGATGTCCCAATAGCTCGGAAAGGGCGTGGTCGTGACGGAGTTCGAAATTTTTTATGGGCTCGAGAACGCCCGTTCGCAAAAGCAACTACTGTAATTCTGATTTTCTTCGCTGGTCGATTGGATTTGAAGAGGTGTTCAGGTCTAAGTAGAATGTACTTTTTTCTGAGATTTTTTGGCTTTTTCGATAGAGCCTCGATCAATTGACCAATAACCGTGTTTATTTCTCCTTATGATGAAACGTCGAAACAAACACTGTACATAAGGATAAAAATTATATTTAATGATGGTCTCGCGTGATATGATAGGAATTCATGCAAATTTCGGTGAGCAACACAGACGGATTCCTCGTGAGATTTCCTTCGAAAAGTCATAAACATTTTGTTAACTTCATCAGATCGTATGTTCTATTCTTAAACTTCATAGCCTTCGTGATACTCATGTTCATCATACTTTTGCATGAAATTCAAGTCAATCAGTGGGCAGTATATTGGTTCAAAATTGAAATCGTTCAATATGCCTTGTTCCTGTGTTTTACTTGAAATTTGTTCGAAGTTGATCAATCTAAACATATGAGATTTTCCTTTTTTATTCCGCCTGATCTTGAGATACAGCACGTGTACCCAATATTTACCGTCATTGAATTTTTGTGAGATTTATTATTTCAATGGTTCAAGGAACAGATTGAGTCGCGGCCACATGACAGAAAAAGCAATTTCAAGAGATAAAATCGTGAGTCGATCAAATTTTCGAATGGGATGTTATTTTTGTGCTATTATGCATTTATGATTCTATCCACAGCCGCGGAAATGTGGTCTTGGTCGGTACGAAATATTATTCTGTCCAGTGTCAACGTGCAAAAAAGATTTTATGTGAATCGAAATATTTTGAGCCTGAAGGAACGTGAAATATGGTCCGACCTTTTTCCTCGCGAAGACGTTAATGGGCTTGCTGATCTTCTGATCGGAAAACCTCAGACCATATACGCTGGTTTTGATCCTACCTCGGCATCTTTACACGTTGGTCATCTAGCAGTTATATCAGCGTTGCTACAGTGTCAACGAAGTGGTCATCGCGTGGTGGCTGTCGTTGGTGAAGCCACTGCAGTGGTCGGTGACCCCACAGGGAAGAAAAGTGATCGCCCTGAGCTTGTTGCCGAAGATGCAGCGAAGAATTCATCTGCGATTGAGAAGCAGCTCAATAAGATCTTCAGAAATCACGAGGAACATTTTTGGCCAGATGACTTCAAGAAACGTTTCCCGCTCACGCCTGCCCTCATCTTGAATAATCTGGAATGGCACAGAAGTTTAAGCGTGCCCAGGTTTCTTCACGATGTGAGTTCACGTTTGCCCAATGCGAGTACTGTAGTAACAAATTAAAAATCGTACTCAGAAAATGGCAGTGCAGTACTTGTACGGTTGTGTGTAAAACTGCGATCAGTTCTGCAACTCACTCCTGCCGTGACGCTTTGAAGCTTTTACCACTCTTTGGGGAAATTAAGTTAAAATAGTTCCACGAGTTTAAGCTTTATTTTCAGAAAACTAAAAGCGGCACAATGCTTCCTGAAACCGGGTTGATAATCGTAATGCGTATCAATGCGTGTTTTTCTTCCCTCATGTTGGGAAGAACCATTGATCATAATCTTATAATTGCCGTTTCGTTCCAGAATCTAGTCCAACGTCTTATTAAATAGTGGGTCAAACTGACGAACACTTCGTTTTTCTGGGAAGAATAACTGAAATTCAAGGAAAGTTCGTCTTTTGAATTCAACATGTGACTTGTAAATTTGGCGCAGACAATTCAGGACATCCAGGTTTAGCACTATAGGAAGTTGACCTGTGGTTGGCAATTTTGAAAATTGTTGAAATCTAAATTGCTAATTGAATAACCAAACAATTTCAGTGCATAGCTAAGAAGTTCGAGCGCAACTCCACATGATTTTCAAAAAATGAAGGCCATTGCTAATATAACCCGAAAAGTAAATTTTATTTTCCCATCCGTACATTTTATTTTCACATTCCTAGGTCGGCCGGAAACTGCGAATGAACGAACTCCTCTCCCGAGAAGCAATAAAATCCCGCGTTGCCGAGGGCAGCTCAGGGATGTCACTGCTCGAATTCGCTTATCAAGCTGTACAAGCCTATGATTGGCTTCACATGTATCGGAAGTACGGATGTTCCGTGCAAATTGGTGGTCATGATCAGATGGGTAACTTGGTCACCGGAAGAGATTTGGTTTCTCGAAGTGAAAACGATCCTCGGGTTTATGGTCTCACTGTCCCTCTGATTACCTCGGAAAAAGGGGACAAGTACGGAAAAACCGCAGGGAACGCTGTGTGGCTTGACCCAAATCTTACCTCTACTTTTGAACTTTATCAGTTCCTACTGAGAACTCCGGACGCCGACGTACGTATTATTCGGAACGAATTCTTCTAAGTTTTCAAGCCAATTTATGTGAAGACTGAGTTTTTTGAAAATACAAAATTGAAGATTGCCTAGAATCTTTCCTACCTTCCCTGAATCACTTGAAGTTGAATGATGACTTCTGAAGCCCTAAAACAGGAATTGATTGTTCTTTTAAGCAAGAGAAGTGTCTTAAAAATTTCTGAGTTTGATGATAATCCGTAAAAATTACCGATGTTCATTATCGGAAGTGAAACTTGTTTCAATAATACCTACCATTTCCATTCAGTTTATCGCTAATCAATTCTTTTCTTTAAAGGGGGAGATTTTCATAGGATTTCACATGTTCCAAGCTTTGTTTTGAATCTTCGAATTTTTACTGACCCGGGATGTACTTCTTAGATAAGCGCACAGATTTTCGGAGTGTGATTTTTCGCTGGCCAATCTGCCGTATTTCAGTGAGTTTCATAAAGCGACTACTGTAACGGAATAAGTTATCTATCGTCCACGTCTTTTTTTCATGACATCGATCAAAGCATGTACTATGCTGATGAAAAGGGGGGGTTTGTAAAATTCTGCCGTTGAGGTTAGAAAATTTGTTGAATCAGTGCTTTACCTTCTTTTACAGTTTACGTTTCGACTAACCTGGTTCCTGCATTCATTTGTCTTGTCCATCGTGTCATTAATTATTTTTGAATAAGAAATTGTAGTGGTGCAATGATGCATTGTTATTTGTTTGAGATTTTATTTAATTTTTACCAGCGATAAATATCGAAAGTTTCGTTCTTATCGAGTAGGACTGAGGAAGTGGCTGATGGAAAATGTTCATGTTTTGAGTGACTAAAATGTCCGTTTACTTTATTTTCTTTTGCAGGTGGTTCGACTTGTGAAGACTCTTTGTTTAGATCCTTTGCCAGACTTGGAAAATGGGGTACTAGAACAGCATCGCGCAGATCCTGGTAAACTCTGCGCTCACAAGAAACTTGCCGATAGTGTTATAACCCTTATACACGGTCCGACTGGACTGGAATCTGCAAAACGAACGACTGAAGCGTTTTATTCCAATTCGCCAGCAGCCCTATGTGAACTGTCTGCCGAAGAGCTGCGTAGCGCGATGTGCGGCTCATCCGCCATATCTCTGATGCTTCACCCGGAAACGACTGTGCTGGATTTGGCCTTGCGTGCAAAATGCTTTCTGCACGAAGTAGATGCACGTAGAGTCATTATGGGGGGTGGATTCAGGCTAAACCACCGGAAAGTCCTTTTTCCTGATGCCATCTTAATTCCCGGCGAGCATATTTTGCCGAATGGTTTGACATTAGCGCGAGTCGGGAAACGCAATCACGTGTTGATTCATTGGCTTGGCTAAAATTTACGGAAGTGGGTCAGACTAACGAAAGTTCATGATTTGCGTATCGTGAGTATTCATTCTTGAGCATGCATCGAAGTGCAATTTTTTTCGATGATTCAAAGTCTTATTCAAGATTCGTCTCAATTTCGAGTTCGATCTACCGAGAGGATAATTTTCTCTAGACATTTTCCATTTCATGGTAAACTATACCTGAAATAAGCTTATGGTATTGCTAACGTGTAGTGTTTTCTTCTGAAATTTTTGAAAAATTGTTCTGCCTGAAGCATGCGAAAGGATCAAGTTGTTGCAATAATTGTTTTGTCCGATTACAGAAAATAAATGATCTGTTTAAATTATCGGCATTCACGCGTAGTCGTGATTTGAAAAAATTAGGCTGTGAACGGTGAAGTGAAAAATGGCAGTGTCGCTTGATCGATTTTTGAAGACAGTCGAAGGCATTCGGCAAACGCTGAAAGTGAAAGATGCTCCTGGAAATACCACCGAGTAAGTATACATTTGCTTTATTAGCAGTATTTTCACATATTTTGCTCGAAATTCGAAAATAAGTATACGGGTACACCGAAGCATTTACAGTGCATGCACAATTTATTGCTACCTACTGCAAGTCTTTCCAATAATCTACTTCTCACGCCATCTTGATACGATAATATCACTGGAAACTAATCGAAAGACGTGGATGATTTGCTGAAAATTTTTCCTGAGAATGCTGAGATTATAAATTACTGTACATATTTGAAACTGGCTTCTCGGATTATGAAATCTAGAAAATTGGGCAGATAATCTAGAATTTTAGATAATTTCAAGGTTGGAAGACATGGTGCAAATTTTTTCAAGCGGCCGTGGTATATTCACAGGAAATCGGGAGCTCAGGCTGATACAGAATTGGTCAAGCGGGAAAAAATTGGTCAAATCAATCAAGTAGTGGATGGATTGACGTCCTCATGTAAAAGCCCTGGCGTTTTGACGAATGCGGGTTTTGTTTCTCGGGCATTGTCACCTTGTTTGGAACTGCTGCTGCTGTTCTGCGATGACGAAGATGCCGATGTTCGATTACATGCAAACGATGGGCTAACGAAGTGTGTGAGGGTGAGTCATTGTAATCTATGAAGTTCCCCTATTTATTCTGTTCGTTTATTTCTAAAGAATAGTTAAAATCAATTTTCAGTCCTCGTATTTTATTATATTTCTCCCTTCACGAAGTGATTCTGTGATTTTTGCTGAAGAGACGTGATTAAAATTGTGTAGCATACGGTATGCAAGACTAAGCCTTATTCACGCGATTAAAGGCATCACCCTAATTTTGGATATTAATTTTCTTGGAAAATACTGTGTTGGTTTTTTCAAAGAATATTTTCAAAATGAAATGCATTCTGTACTGTGACAAAATATTCTAATTTTTCTGAAATAATTGGACATTTTTAGTTCTTTTAGGTGTAGAATATAGCCTGCACGTACAAAATATATTGCTGGTATGAACGCGAGTACAGTACACTTACTACTCGAACATATCACGCCTAGGCCATGTCCCAATGTTCTGATGCATAATTTTTCAAGTGAGCCGTATAATCGCCTAAATACGGGAAACGTGCCATCTTCAGTTTAGTACTTTAGTCTCATCTTTCTTGTATTCATTTTGAAAATATATTTCACAGCTTTTGTCGCTCACACATTCAGGCCGACTGGAAAGTGAACTGTATAAAGAAATCAAGAAGAACGGAAATCAAAGAAGTTTGCGCGCCGCGTTGTGTAGGTTTGGAATAGTTGCGCCATTGATAAGGTACATTTTTTGCTTTTTTTCATCGTACTGGTTCACATGAAATTTCTCGCTTGAACTTTCGTGCAGGCTTTCGAAACGTCGCGCATACGCTGGTAATTTGTCATCAGTTGTTATGCGAGTTTGTTCCGTTCGAAATGAGGAAAGCCTGTGGGAATCTCTCACAGGTTTTTTCCAGAGCGTCTGGCCATCGCTTGGACCTTATTTTATGGACAGTGAGAATAAGGTCAGTATTCTTTTTGTTTTTGGCAAGCTTTAAGAATTGTATCTATTCAGTTTGTTTGAACTTTCAGAAACTGCTGCGCGTGCTTTTCGCCCGCTTGGAGGACGAATCGACGGCCATGCCTGTACGAAGAAATGCAGGACAATGCATTGCTGCCATGGCGAAATATTCAAGAAATCCTGAACAAACGATAGGATTTCTTCTTGACATTATTGCAGGTAAAATATAATTTCTTTCTTTGATTTCAATTTCATGAAGAACAAATTTCGAGGCGAAGTTTTCGTTAGTTTTTTGCAAGCGCGACGAGGGGAATATGTCCAATAGTTTTCTATGAAATGGTTTTCTAACGATGATACTGTTATAAATGGTTTTACGAGTTTTCCCATAGAATTTGGTGTTTAGTCATTCTGAAAATTTGTCGTCTAAATGGTCGTCCAACTCTCGCCGTTCAAATGCAAATGTTCTCCTATCCGCAGACGAGGGCGTGAAACTGCTGGGCAAAGAGAGAAGTGTCTATTTGCACAGCTGTCTGATGTTGATGAGGAACCTCGTACCTTTGCTGCGAGAACTACCCGTCGATGAAATCACAAAGCGATTGGGGTGTTCGCTTAAGTCGGTTTCGGGATCGGATAGCTCCGCTTCCCTCGCCACATCATCGTCCGACTTCGTCCCCAGCCGCGAAAGCGTTCGACTGAATCAATACCTTTTTGTGAGTATTCCGGCCGAATTTTGTTTCTAATGACGCTTGTTCTTGGAAGTTCTATTGTTGGAGTAAAACTATTTGCGCTTGTTCGTTTTTTTTCGCGCTTTCTGAGACACGTATTATTTTTCGTACTTTTCAGCGATGGAATATTTATGGATTTTTTCTCTTGTGCTTTACCTTAACTTGAAGGAACCGAAAGGATGACGTTTCTGAAATCGGGATGGTCGTTACGATTCATGGTCCAGATTTTTAAGGTTGAGCTTTCTCCGTTGAAAAGTACTGTAGTTTCTGTGTGCTCATGTAGTAAAATGCGAGGAAAGAAACGCAAATATTTCGGTTTTTCTTGTCCTCCCCTCGCTCCGGAAGAAATTATTTTATTCTTTAACGGCAAGGATATACACAGAAATATCGTGAAGAGCAACATCTGTGATGCAGGAAGAAATATTTTTTAGAAAAAAGGAGCAACTGTATTCACATTTCAAATATTTAATCTTTATCAGGGCAATATTTGTTATGTCCGTGTTTGAGATTGTAGTGAGAATTTTAAATCACGGGAATGGACTACTATAGTCTGGCGAGAAGTTCTTTATTTAGTTATTTATTTCACCAAATTGGATGCACGCTTTCTGTTGAATAATTTACTGTACTTATACAGTATTTCGAAGTGTGTGCTTGATTGGGATTTTTAAATGTTCTTTGCTTGAGTAACTTTTGAGAAGATAACAAGAAAACTAACGTCCTCATTTTAAAATTATTTCTCCTTCGTTTCTCTTCAAGATTTACGAAGTTGGGATGAGGAGTACCCAAAGCAGAAATACGTCTGTTTGTACGGCCGCATTGGAGCTTTTGCAAGTTCTTCTTCTAGACCCACCGCTGTTTTTTATCTCTGCAATGAGGGATACCGGAGGCTTGGGTGCCACGTCACGAATACGAGATGATCATGAGGGTGCCTGGGAAAATTTGTCAGCTGCAACAAGTTCGTGAATTTATTATGCTATTTGTGAATGGTTAATTCTCACTAAAGTATATCATTAATTGCTGAATGCTCCCGGAGATTGTTTATTGAGCATTTGAAACGAATGGAGGTACAGTTTCTCATGTCCGTGTATTTTCAGGTATCTTGAGTATTGGGAAGCGGTCTTCAGTCTGCGAAGATGTTTCCGTTTCTCTGGCGTTTGATGACGGTGAATCGTTGAACAGCTTTAAGATAACCACAAGCTGTCAACGGGTCGGCCAAGGTTCTGAAAATCAGTTTCAAGGTTCTTCAGCGACGGATCCTGAATGGGATCCGGATTGCAATACAAACTCTGGAGATTACTGTGGGATCAAGATGGGTGTGATAGAAACGGATGATGCGGATGCATCATTTAATCCGGCACTGATGAGTGCTTCACATCAACATGAAGAGAGCGATGATGACGATGATGATATTGTGAAAGAAGGTTCAGAAATTTATGAGGAGGAATTCCCGAATATTTGTCATGGTGAAGAGGAGCATCAGGAAGCTCTGCTACCGGACACAGCGAATAGAACGGTATATTTCTTGTATTTCCGCAATGCTTTTCGCATTAAAGATCCAGAACCGTCTTGAAATCTTGTCAACATTTTGAAAAGCCATTTACAGAGCTGTAGTCTAAGGAGAAAACGATTGTTGATTTTTAAATGTTATTAGATTTTTGCTCCCCTTTTCAAAGTCTTGTTCTATGAATGGACGTTGGCTTACTAATTTTCGCAGATTATTATTTTATGATTTCCTTGCCAATGTTCTAAATATAGCTCAAAAAAGTCAAAATTGAAATATAACAGAGTTTAAAAAGCAGTAAATTGCTATGGTGTAACTAGGTTCACATGCCACACGGATTTTTGTTCTGCACGAAGTGTAGAGCTATAAAATTCAATATGAGGGAGATTACAAGAGGATTTTCAGTCTTTCGAAAGCTGTCTTTTAAAACAAGTGGAACACTTTTGGTCGATATATTTACATCAGAAAGTACCGTCTCTCCGTTAGCTGTATATGAGAATCAACACAAGTGTTCGTTCATTCTGCTTCACAGTTCGGAGACATTGGCTCTTTTCATTTTCCCGAGCCGCAAGTGCATTTCTGCGCCAGAGTCGTTGCGAACACATTTCTTCTAAGGAGTAATAATGAAACGTGTCTCATCCCGGAAAGCTTGATCAGAGTAAGCTTGCAAGCACTAGCAGTGTCTGTGCTTGGGAATCTCGCCGCGATGGAACCCAAGTTACTGCAAATACCGATCAATGTGACTCAAAATAGTGCAACGTTCGTAGAGCTATTGAAACTTGCCTCGCACAGAGACCCAATCATAAGGGCGAATGTGGCATCTCTCTGTGGTGCCGTTTTGAAGTCCGCATTGCTGTTCGGATTGGGCCAGCCAGCTGGCTTTGCTAGTGTTGGGTTTCAAACTCTCTGGGACCCAATTGCCGAAGCTGTGTTTGATAGTGCGCCATTGGTTGGTCGGGCTGGATTGAAAGCTGTGGCGCAACTAGCAGGATTACTGCTCCGGTCGGAAAAAGCACATGTTCTGCTGCGTCTAGCTCGTCAGTGGTCTATTCTGGCGAAAACATCTTCCTATTGGCTTGTGAAGGTGAGGCCTCGAAGAATCTACTTCTTTGATTTAGAAAAATATTCATTAATATGTTGTACATTTCTGATATCCCGGCCTAATGACTGATTCAGTCACCCGGATCATCAAGCGTCGCTGATTTCTACTGTATTTTATTCGGGTTCTTGCAAATTTTCAACGAAAAAAGAATCCTGGTGTTCTGAATCAAGCCTGAGTCTCACTATCTTCTCTGCATAAATCATGTGAATGATGAGCCCTTCTAGCCCGCATTCATAGAATCAATTGAATCAACCATCAACCAAGTATTTAGAAGACTTTTCAGAAGTTCATTACTCGGGACAGTCTTTACAGGGGAATACGTGGAGGTCAAACATGTTATTCTAATACACTAAAAGGCTAGAGTTTTTACATTAACACTCTTCTCTCAGAGGAGGCTTCTTGTTGAATATTATTTTCATATGTTGAATGCAGCATTTGTAATCTTCCGAAGTTGTACCGAATGTTCAACATGATGCCGTCCTTCTTGTAAGCGAAAGGTTCACTTGAATTACCGACACACCGTATTTTTTCCATCGTCTTTCTTTGAGCGAAATATTAAGGGGAAAACTTTTTCAAGTCCAGGAAGTAACGCCTCAGTAACATATTGTCAATTCCCTGAAAATGCGGAATCACAACTGAATTTCCGGAATTTTGATAATCCGCCATGGCAACAGTTTCAATTTCTATTTTAATTTAATTTATTTTTTCTACAAGGTGGAATTATTGTCCTTGTTGGCTGAGATTCCTGTGGCAGAGATGGAGTTTCTGATGAGAGTCGGAAATGTGGGAATGTCCGAGTCGTATTTAAAAAAGTCCTGGACAACTGTGATTTGTCCATTGCTTGGGGATGAAAATCCAAAGGTGCGAACTGCTGCTGCGGAAGCACTCGTGCAGTGAGTCGGTCATTGAAATATTTGTTTTCGATGCATCCGTTCAGTTCGTTCAGGGGTGCTTGTTCAATTTTTTTTCGATTCTGTAGGTTTTGTTCAGTTCAATAAAGATTCTAAGCGATTTCATCAGCATTTTTCTTCGTGCATAAGTTCTTCAGAAATGCTTGAAATTTTTGCGCATCTGATACGCCTCATTAGATACGCATCAAATGTTCAAAGATAATAGAATTTTATGGAACTTCTCACGAAAACTGCGAGGGGTTTTGCAAAATTTTAGGTTAATTCAACGGTGTTTTTGTTCGAACCTCGTTTCAAAATGCTTCCAGTCGGAAAAATCGATTTTCCCGGAGAATGGTTTGTAGAAAACTAATTTGTTTTTAAAGAAAACATCGCGGATGTTGCGTTCTTCCGATTTAAGCTGGAACGATTACTGCGGCTTTCAGGTTGTGTTGCAAGTCTTTTCATCTCATTGACACGTGGGATGGCTCTGCTGTGTCAGCCGTTGCTGCCAACCTGACGTTGTCACACTCGAATGCCTTCGGCCAAAAATCGCTGTCAAGGATTGTTGCGAAATCTTTTAATGATCTTCATGAAGCCACATCTTCGGAAATGGTTGTGGGAAACCTGGAAGCTCTAGCTTGCTTGGTAGCTGCATTCCCGCCGAAGGAATTTCGAGAAGCATGGTTTTGTACGCGAGTGAAGCCGGCTGGCGCAAACTGTCAGGCACTTGGCAACCTAGGACTGTTGATAAATTTGACTATGGCAAGAGCTGTTTGTTCAGATCTACGGGCTGTGACTGATCTTGTGATTGTGGCAACCAGCATTTTTGAAGGTTAGTTCTATTGTTCGTCGTTGAAACTTCAGGATGAGGTAGAAGAAAATATGTTCAAGTAGATTGTGTCTCCACGATCCACCACCCTCGCCCTGAACCAACGTTCCGCTTAACGAACGTTTTTTTGGGGGGGAAATCCATTAATAAAAAAAAGTATATATTTTGTGGGATTGACAATTGTTCAGAATCACAAGTCGAATAACTCCTTCTTTTAAAGTTCCAGCGCATATTTCATGGTTTTCAATGTTGGTCTTTGCTTTTTCAAATTTAATTATTTGAGTAAGCATTATATATTCTTCAAAGCTTTAGTTTTCTTTTTGAAATTTCTTCCTTCCTCTTTTTGAGTCGTTTCCATAGGAATGAGGTCTAAGTTTTTGGCTTCTTTACTTTCATGTTTGTTGATTTCTATCTGTGTTCGTTGAAATTTTCATTCAAAAATGTTGATTCAACCAATTAAATATTCATGCCTGTATGATTTTGATTCTGTGTGATGCGTTTTTCATTTTGGCAATTCAGATAAAGAAAAAATATTCCTTCTGGGCAATTCAAAGCGTGAAATAACCTTTTTTTGATAGGGAAATCAATTTCAAGCTAATCAAGCCCATTGATTTGAAAATTGACTCGGACAAGATTAATTTCAGATGCAGGCTTTCAGCCGAAGGTTATTTCTGTGAAAGAGATTCAAATGCAATTTGCAATTGCATATTTTGTGTCCAGTTGGCAGTTGTGCTGTTTTAGGATTTTGAGATGAACGGCATTAAAATATTTGAGGTAAGGATCTTCATGTCTGTATATGTGCCAAAAAGCCCATATTTCCTCTATTATTTATGGGGATATGACAACTTTTTCTGTTAGTCCAAGGAAATATTCCTGATAAACACAATAAAAGTTGTTATTAAATCCGCTGATGATAATTTGTCTATTCATCAGGTTGCTGGTTATGACATGGACTATGGCTCTGAAACCTGGTCATTAAAATAATAGTAATTCAGTGTAAAGGAACAGTTTTACTTATTTTTAAACCTCCGTTTTAGAAGAACATTCATGAGGAATCTTTGTTGTGGCCCCTTTCATTGAATGCTTTTTTATTCATGGAGGAAGTTTTTTATAGCATCAAGGGGGTTTTTTAATGTTACAATTTTTCTTGAAAGAAGTATGCTATAATTTAGCATTGAGCATTTAGCATCAGGTGTACAGTGAAGGTACTTGATTATTCTCTTGTGCATTGTAGAATCCCTGTGTCTTGCTCATCTCTGTGTTTGCATATTGTGGTTTATGTATGAAGTACTGTACAATAAAAGACTGTTTTTGTCTTGCAAAGACTTTTCAGAATGAATTCCTTTTCACATCTACTTGATAAAAGAGATACACCAATCTGAAGTTATTCAGAATAAGGATAACAAGGATATGGATAAGTTTCTAGCAATTGAGTATTCATTGATGGCGGCAAATCCCGGACATTTACGATCCGACTCTTTAGAATCAGACATTTTGGCAATGTTTTGTACTTGCTTGAGTTGTCAAAAGTCCTAAAAATTTTTGTTTAAAAATTCCGTACTCCCCCAAAAAGGGTCTCATTTCTATTTATCCTCGTAAATTGAACCCAGTATTTTTTTCACAAGTGATTCCCAACCTTGAGTGACATTTGAGTTACGACTGCGCTTCAGTGGATTTTTGCGCTTGTTATTATAACGTTGTTATTATAACAAACAAATTTTGTACTACAAACAAGGGCAAATGTTCACCCTTGTTTGTATTACAAACTTTGTACTACAAACAAGATTTTTTTTGTTCGTTGTACAAAATTTTCATAAAATTCGTCGCATGTATGACCGTCGTCCCATAAAAAAATCTCTCGTGTTCTGAGGCTGTGTTCTGGGAACATAGAAATTTTTATAAAATTTTTCACATGTGACAACGAACATTTGACCGTTGTCACATGAAAAAATGTGTCAGTAAGAAACTTCTGTGTTCTGAGACAATTGTCTCAGAAAACAACAATTTTTAACTCACAAAAATGTCCGTGTTCTTAGACAATTGCCTCAAAACACAGAACTTTTCATAAAATTTTTAATTTTAGTCAATACATTTCATCAGCAGCAACACTTTCAGGCAGTTGAATTTCTGTGTCCCCCAAAAACCAAGCATTCCTGCAGAAAGCTGCGAAATTTTTGAGGGATTTGATTAAATCAGCGGCCGTCTTAAACAGGGCGGCCAGCCCAGGAATGAAAGGATTTTTATTATGCGGAGTCAATGGACCCCTTTTTTTTCGAAGGGTAAGCCCCTCGGTGGATAGAAATGCCAAATGTCGTTCAAGTAACCTCTGTCTCGTTTCTTTAAGTTGTTCATCTGCGCGTTCAGTTCATTTTCATGAACTTTGAGCTTACGTCTCTCAACGAATCCCCATATTTATGTAGGCTATTAAAAAAAATCCGTTTCAAATATCTGTCGACAAATGGAAGCTTGGGTCAGTGGCGGAAATTTTTGCACTGCAGAAGAAATATTTATAGTACATCGTCAGGGCAGACTGTTCGATTAAATTTATAGAACGTGTCCAATGGGATAACTTTTTCAAATTCTGCCAGTACTTATGTAATGATCGATTTTCCTACAAAGTTGGGTTAGCATTTTACAAATTCTTCTTTGCTTTTTTTGGGGGACTTCAGGTCTGGCGTTAGAACACTTGAAACCGTTGGAAAAAGAGACACTCCGCGATGATGGACCGAACAGAAAATGGGAAGCTCTGGACCATCCTCAAGTATGTAATGTGATGAAGGATAATTTTGCGTCATTGGTGTGTTTTCGGATTGAATATTAACATCTTGCCCTGTGTATCCAGTTGGACGTGATTGCGCAATTGTTGATGACGTACCTAATCCGCATGATTTGTATGACGACATCGTGCCTTTGTGATATTCCGCCTTCAAAAGCGGCCTTCCAAGCTGCGAAGGAACCATCAACTCTTTCTCCGACATTGCTGAAAACTCCGGAAGTGAAAACAGTTGGGAGCACCATCGCTTCTCCTATGAAACGAATGATGAGAGCAGTCTCGAAGCAAACTGAGTCATTGCCTACTACTGTATCTGAATCAGAGGAACCCATTGGTGGTTCAAGTGGGAAGAAGAAGGCTCCGGGTTCCGTTGGTTCGTTTGCCGGCTGTCCAGACCTCCTCCGGGTGCATGAAATGCTCAGGGCTGTGTATGAAAATTACAAGGTGAGCTGTGAAGTATTTCGTGTGGCAATACCTTCTACGAATACGCTTAGTCGCAGTTCAACGTAATTCTACTGCCAATCATTCTTTCGCTTTCTTGTTTCTCGTGAGGGTAACCGATTTCCTCGCGCAAATCGGGAATAATGTACCATCGATTGTTCAAAAATGTGTTGAGTGTAATTATTTCGTTTCAACTTTTTTTTTGGATACCTTAGATTTGAACACATCTCAAAATTAAACCATCCCACAAATGCTGATTATCGACGTAGTTTTTTGTGAGACTTATAGTGGTACTTGTGATGATCCAGTCAAATCACAGGGGGAAGTTCGGATTAATATATGGTACGCTGAGTTGCAGTGAGACCGTACAGGAAATTCCGGAAAATAATCAATTCTGAAATGCATTGTAAGGAAGTGGTAATGTGCAATGTACTATTGGCCAATTTATGTCTTCTTCCAAGGTGCAAATCCGTGTGGGTAAAAGAAAAAATCAGATAATTATTTTGGAATGACCTTACTGTCTGAACATCTATGCTTTCCACATCTGCTTGAAAAATTGGGCGAAAATATGGGAAATAGGACTGTGCGAGGAAGTTGGACTCCTCGTGTATATTGTCCGTCATTATCTTTGGTCATTTTGGAAGTGTCCACACTCTTACAACGAACGCATACTAAACTTCGAAGTCGGGATCCGTTCAGAAAAAAATAATCCTCCATATCTTCCTTTATTTGTTTCAGTTTAGTGCGTCAAATGAGCAAAAGGCAGAGAAAAAATTGATGACATTCATCGTGGGAACTCTGGAAGGGTTAGGAAGAATGCTCGAGTTCGCATCTTCTTCAGAGTTATGCCTTCATGCAGAAGAGATTCTACATTACTTGCAGATAATCATGCCACTATGCCCCGCAGCGGCTTTGAAGTCTGTATCAAAGTTGCTACATTGCCTATTTGCCAGTAACGCAGCGGCGTTGGGAGAAAAAGACAGCGCAATTCGGGATGGGTTTCTCACGTCTTACGAGGCGAAACAATGGTTGGTATGCTATCTGAGTGACTTTCTAGAATGACTTCGAATTGTACTTCCACAGGGGAAAGATATGCGAAGGCCGGAAGGATCCGAGTAGTTTTTATCAGGTCATTTTTGGTGGCCCTTACCGAAAGTTCTCTACGTTTGTCAAGACTGTAAGAGCCAATGCAAAGCCCCAAACTGGTTCAAGTCGACCTCCGCTACTGATCAAAACTGGTCCATTGTCGAACCGATCGCATTTGTCGAATTTTATTCGTTTGTTCGAGCCTGTTGTGATTTATTCTCTCAAGGTGAGTACAGTAGGCTCCTAACATTTATTTATAATCAAGGTGAGTACAGTACTGCTATAAATCGTAATTTACGATCTGCACCTATCTCTAGCAAATCTTCGAGAATGCCGACTCCTCACGTCTTACATGCATTTTGCTAAATTTTTCGATTATTTTCTTCCCCAAAAACATTAGCTATTTAGACTCTAGAATGGTTCAAAAATGAACTGCCTATCGCTGACGACAGAAAAAGCAGTCTGATTTAAATAGTTGCTATGAATGATTTCAACGCATTTGACCTTCCTAGAAACATTGTATCTTTTGGACTGCGGGCGATTTCATGTGAAGAAATTGTACATACTCCGTAGATTATCTATTCATCGTTTATGGATTACATGTTCATCATCGAAGGATAATCTCCTTCTAATATATTTTGCAATTACCCTCAAAACAGCATTGAACATCACACTCCTTCAAATATTCATACGCGAGAATTTTTCATGCTTAAATAAAAATTCACTTCTTTTGAAACAGGTTTTCACATCGTCTCCTGAAGTTCATGTGCAGTCGGCCGTTCTCTCGCTGCTGGTCACTTTGATTCGTCTACGAGTAAATTACCATCTACTGGACAATGAACAAATATTTCTTAACTACGTCTTGAGACAATTTGACCTTGTAGAAGAAGGGCTGGTGTCCGGACCGAACAGTCCTATCCAGCACCTACTACCTTGGTTGCTGCGTTTCCTCGTTCTTCTGTCTCACGACAGTATTCATACCAAGGGTCAAAGCCTACTTCCATTCTCAAAGCTGATACAGTTATGTGACGGTCTGATGGCCTCAGAGTTTGACTTGGAAACCCACTGTAAGTTTTGGTTTTACAATTGAAAGTTACTCTCGTTGTATCCATGCGGTACTGACAATCATTTTCGCAGGTTTACCAGCAATGGGTCCGTTGGTTGAAGATCTATTCTTGTGGCGCAGCAAGGGTAAGGACAAAGTCGACGAGATCGAAGCTCAGAAAGAAGTCATTGTGACGATGCTAATGCGCCTATTACCAAGTATTCAGGTGAAACTTCAATTCTATTGTTCCAAAGACCGGCGATTCGCGCTAGGCTCCTAATACAATATTTATTTATTTATAATCCCCGGAAAAGTGGAATTGGGATAAAATACTGTATACTGTACAGTATAATGCGATACGAAATTCGTCAAAGGTTCGCACGGCCTCACATATTTTATGTGTACTTTTGGTAGGACTTCAAAGTTTCTTTTTTTTCTTGTTGCTATTTCGAATGCAGAGATGAAAATTTTCCCGTGTCTGATTTCGACAGCTTTTTAGTTTTTCCATAGACATATCCTCCGTTAAAATAATCGCTCTGCATTCTCTACATGTTCTTTGTTTTCCTTCATCACCCAGAAATCAGCTAACGTGTCGTCACTTGCTGCAAAGCTTTTTGCAAAATTTTGTCTTCGTCGCGTGTTTCTCTGTTGCTGAGGAACATTGGAAGGCTATTTAGGACGTTTACAAAAAAATGGTCATTCCCCAAATTTACTGAGCTACAGGATATTGTATTGCATTTTTATTAAAAATCGCTATGAAATTCTACAAAATGTACCAAAAATCGAAAAGAATTTTTCTTGAATATAAAATCGAGTGGCTGAGAAACACGTGTTCGAAAATTTTTCAGCATACTGCGAAAGGTATGTTTTGAGATTACCATCTTGTGAACGTTTTAGATTTTCTACTTGCAGAAAGCCCAAAAATAGTAAAACTGCAAAAATTCTGAGAAACGATGAACATCATTTTGACTGTACCCAACATTTTAAATAGTCTTCAAGTGCTCTGAAATAATTTGAGGCTGCAAGGACCTTTTAAATCCAGGTGCGGACATGTTATGTGGACTCTGTGTAACAACGATGGCGAAATCCTTAGTACGGGAAAAGCTTTTTTTCTGATCCAAATGATTCATGCATCGGCATCACCCCTTCTACCTCATATTCGGTGTAGAGAATTAAACAGAATTATGCTCTGTATGAAAAACATTATTCTCTGTAAAAAGCAAAATTATTTTCCCCCGATTGTTTATGCATAAGAGTCCACTTGTGTATGCCACCCAAGGAGGCCTTAAGTCATGACATGCAGGACATTACCGCTGCCTCTTCCATTTTCATATGTAAATGGATGGAATTCGGTTCCTGGTGCAATGTTTTCGTATCGGTTGTACGTCAGGAATTGAGAAAGTTTAGAGCATTTTTTCCATCACGCGTGTCGCGTTTTGTAATGCTTCGCTTTCTTGTTGTACGGCAGAAAGATTCTTTCTGATTTTCGGTACTTTTTGGAGGATTTTCAAACGATTTTTGATAACGATGTGTCAGGCTTAAACTATGCGTAAAACCTGTACTGTATATAGCACCGTTACCTATTTTTTCCCCTTGAAGTTGGGATGAAAACAATCTAGCCTTACTATCGATTATTACAGGACAGGGACGTTCTTTTTGGTGTTCATCTTCAATTAATCTTGAAAATTATGCGATGCCTTGAAAAGTTCAGCATTTTTTTGACCGGACTTGATTCTTCAGGTGATTCGAGTGTTGACGATGATAGTAATCGCCAACAAGGAGCTGGGACATGAAGAGTCATACCAGAGCATTTCAAAGCAATTTTTGAATGCTATATTACCGTTGATGGCGAAATGGGAAATCGCGATCGAATCAGAAGAAGATGCGGAAGTTCTGGTCAACTTTTTCGCGGCATTGTCTCCAGTATCATTTCATCATCTGGATTCCATTCTTGAAGTGATGGCCCTGTATCCGTCACCAGAAAAGGTAGAAGAAAGACTTCATTATTCTGGCGCCTCCTGGAATAAATTATTCAAGATTTAGAGCTTTCCCGCATAGTGCCACTAATTTCCTTGGAACAAATCTCCCGCCGTCGTGTTCTAAAGGCAAACCCCACTGTAGTGCCAACTCACCTAGTGCCACAAAAATGTTATTCCCTGAATGAAAAATAGGCAAAAGTAAGATAAATTAAGGCATATCTCTAGGGGTATCATTAGGTTATACTGTAACTGAAAATCATTTGCCCATGCTCAGAATAATTTTGAAAATTTTATTTCTACTTTCAAATATTTGCTTTCATTGAAATGTTGATACCTAACTGCAGAAAACAGTTCCACTCCTTTATTTGACCTAATATGTGCATTTGCAAATGATCTTATATACTGTATTCTGTTTTATTAAATAAATTGAAATGCTGTAAAACAAACTTTTTTTTTTTAGCCTCAAATGATTCCTGTGGTCTCTCTTATAAAACAGATTCAGTGACCAAACAATTCTGAAAAAAAGACCATTATACACAACCTAAAATATAAGGCTCCACCAAAATTTTCCTCTGATACAATATTCCCAATTTAGTGCCACCCTTGCTTAGCATATCACCTGCTGTGGGCCCCATTTGGGACTCAGGTGCTTTTTGTCCCCCAAAAAATACTATGACGACAAAAATTTATTTAAACATGTGCAGAGGCTTTGCAATGAAATTATCTAAAATTCAAGACCTCATTTGCCAATTTTTGTTCATTTTTCATTCCACAGCAACAGGTTTTCTGAAGCCAACTAAAAAATTTCCTTGGAAAGTTGAAACATGATTTTTGGAATGCAAGAAAATTACTTTCAAGAGGTTCTATGCAGCTAAACTCAAAAATTGCATGTCCTGATTAGTTTTGAATGCTTCGGTTTATTTTTTTCATTTTTTGATATTTTGATTCATTACAACAGCTGCAAGAACCTTGATCCCCAAATGAGGCTCATGGCAGGTAGGGTGTGAACAAATCATTTTCAAAATTTCCTGAAAATGTGCCAGAAAAGTTCCTTGTCTTGAACATACAAGGGTTCTAACAAAAGTTCTCAGAATAGGAATTAAAATGGCACACAATCAAGCTGATCAAAATTATTCTTTAGGGAAAGCATAGTCTTAAGCACACAAAAAATCAGCCCTGTTCAACAATTTTTTCAAATGTTTTGCAAAATTCATCCAGCAGAGTTTTACTCTCAACTCAACAGATGAGGCACCCTATCTGCAGTTTTTTGTTGTTGTTGTAGCCCAGCTTTCCCCTCAGAATTCTTGAAATCAATGTGGTATTAATTCCAAGGGTTGCCTCCAGGTCTTCCCTGGTAATTCCGCCATTTTCTTCAACAGCCGCCTTCACTGTTAATGAACAGGCGGCTGTTGATCTTCTGTTACAAATGTGTCAGAAGATATGTTTGCACTCACATTTAGCTTACAATAATACAATTCAGTCAAAAGAATGCCAAAAAAAATTTCCAATGTATAGAAGGCTTTTCTTATTGGTAAAAAAAAGCAGATGGTAGCTGCCATGAGCCCCATTTGGGGATCAAGTTTAAAATTCAAATATTTGACAAAATTTTGAATTTAAAATTAACAAAATGTCCCAAGCCTATCTAAATGTAACTGAAGTAAAATGATGCAAAAATGGGTTTGTCGGAAATTTGGCAGTTAATGGGTTAGTGGCAAAAAATGTGCCTGGAAAAATGATGGCACTAAATCAGGATTTGACTTTATTTAGTGACAAATGATGGCACTGAATCAAAATTTGACTATTCCATTCCTGTTTTCTCTAATGCATTCATAAATAATGAAGACTGCAAAAATGCATATGAAAGGATGAACACTCATGTATGATGAAATTTTTGAAAAGAAAGTGGTTTTCTTTTGAAGATTGTGTGAAACAATTTCAATAATACAGTAATTCCCGTCATCGTAGGTGCGCAAAGCATTTCCACGTTGGTTAGCTGGGGTTGTGTGTTGCTTGGGAGTAGCCATGACACATGGTACCGAAGACGCAATTCTGAGCAGATTATTGCTGTCAAATTTGTTGTCCTCCGTCACGGACGAGTCGTCAGTTTCGAGCATTGCCAGTGACGTCGGAGAAGACGGCTGGGTCGATCCTCTTGGCGCTCACGGAAGCCCGAAACAGGAGAACTACTTGAAAGAAAGAACCGCGACGTCTTTGGCGAGGTTATTGACGTGAATTCCTTTTCCTGTTGGACGGAGATTTGCAATTTTAGAATTTCTCTTGCAGATTCTTGCTGGACACGTTGACCTTAGCAGCAAAAGAGATCGCATTTCGGGCAACTGCAGGGTTTTTGCTGGCTTGGAAAACGCTTGGGGTGCATCTAGTTGGTCTCCTTATGCATGTTTCCCACATGGTTCAGTCCGGTAAATATGAGGCGCATGTTCTCGCATCGCATTTTGTATAGTAATTTTATCCCCAGTGCAACAGTTATTTTTTTACTTGATCGATGTTTGTAGGTGAATTCAGGAGAACGGCGAACTGTCTGAAGAACTTGATAGTTTCCGAAGAATCATGGGAGAGTGATCTCCATGAAAACATAGTCAAGCTTGGATTCATAAACCCGTTGATACCGTTGTATTGGATGAATCTGCTATCGCTGTTGAATTGCGGAAATGTCAACCTTTGGAGTAAAATTCTGAAAACTTCGAAAGCTTCGTAAGTGAATTTCTTAGCATGTGTTCAGTCCAGATCGGTCCAACATTTTTCTTTCAAAATCTTCACTCTTATATTATACGCCGGCTACTTTGAACATGTATATGTTAGAAGATCGCAACATCTATTGACGAGTCTGAGGGGGTTTTTTTTATTGGTAGTACTGTAGTAATCATGGAAATTGGATTTTTACTTGAAAGTTTTTTCGAATCGGAAACTCTTGATTTTTATCACATTTTTTGAAGATCGAAGATCAGCTCGAACGGTGAAGCAAGTAATTGTTCCCGGGAAGTTATTCGTAGAGGAACACTGATCGTCTACTGTGATTACATTGTAAGGAAAATTATTCCCGTCTTTTATCCTGCTATTTTTATAATTGATGATCATTCTACATGTAGCACGAAAATTTATTCGTGAGTTCCGGTGGTGGAGAGGAACTTACCTGGTTGCTTGTAAATCACTTGAAATCGCTGGTGTGCCTGAATAAGGAGCCTCCTGTTGCTGATCTTGTCGCCGCCTTACATCGAAATTGTGCATCGAGTCAACTGTTTTTACATGCCATTCGACATCGTCTAATAGATGAAGTAAACGAGGTACGTGTAAGAATTTTTGGCCTTGAAAACTCTTCGCTTGAGTTTTTGTGTGTATGTTACATTATTTTGCATTTGCAACATTATTTTGCATTCGCAAATTCAACGAACTCGCCGATAATACGTGAAGAATCGGTTTCTATTTTCTTACTGCCCAGTCAGTCTTGGAATACAGTACTGTACATTGCTTTGAACTCGCTTTTGTCAAGAAGTTTTTGTCTAACCTCTATTTGCTGTACGGATGATGTCCCACAATTTTAAATGAATGCTCGAAAGTACGAGGGGTGGTTGAAACGTTTTCTCAATGCATTATGTACTTGAAAAGCAAAACAAAAAAATCCTTGGAAAATACGAATATCTAGCGAACGTTCGTATTTTCTTGTGAGTTGTGACCGAGATTAGGTTGTAGTTAATGGATTTATTCAAGAGTAAGGGGAACCTTGATCTTTCATTTGTTCTGGCAAACAAATTACGGTTAGCGAAAGTAAAAGCTTGAATTAATTTGTTCCCATAGCCGCAGTGCCAATGAATGAATGTTTCCGCTAATGCATGTCTAGAGACAACTACATTCTCGTCGTTATCTTGTGTACTCTACCATCAATCAGAACTACTGACTATTTATTCGCTTCTGATTGTCTATTGTGGAGGAAAAATTTAATTTTCGGGTAGGAATTATCTACAGTATTATCTTCTTCCCGCATAGATATCCGTGTGTCGAGGAGTATTGTCCTGCCTCACCGAATGTCCCGCGGAAGTGAGTTTTGCCCTCTTGGAGCTCTGCGTGTATGTCTTGATGCCGAGCAAGATCCTTGCTACGAGTTACAAGGGTTTTCAACTCGGAACGAGTGCGATCGACGTACTCGTTTCTGATGAGCAACGACATAAGGCTCAAGATTCCACCGGCTTGGTCGTGCCAAATGTCTGCTCCACAGCCTCAGATTACTCAGAAGACGATGAGGAGGAAGAAGAGAGAAGAATGCTCCGTGTTCGAAAACCTGGTCGAATACTGGAGTTGAATGACATTAAACCAGAAGATATTGATGAGCTTATTACGAAAAGTGAGGATAAGGCAATCAAATCGAGGTAATTCTTTTCATGCGTTTTGATTCTATTTAAGTCGAGTGCTTTTAGTGGACGGACAAATCGGCGTTTCCGTCCTTTTTTCACGTCCTTTCCGGAGTACTCTTTACTATGAGCAAAATGGTGTAGTATATGAAAATTAATTTGACACGATGCAGAAATAGTTTCAGCTTGAAGCTATCAGTTATTTTGTATATTGTGTTCTTCCCTTAAGCGTCACGGGTTAAAAAAAATAAGTTGACGGTTACGAAGTAAATTACTGTAAGTTTTTTTATTTATTTCCGTGCTGCCCCAGATGAAAGTTGAGGTACTCATTTTTTATGGCTTTTGCAAATTTTCTGGCATTTGAGATTGTTCTACAATATCTACATTGTCAACAAGGGAGACATTAAAGTCGCAATTGATCGAAGTTTCTTTTCAGAGAAAATTTTTAAAATCGCTGAAAGCTCAAATTTTAGACAACCATCGTCGACATACTGCAGCATACTCAACTTGACGGTGTAAATTCATCTCAACAGATTCCCAAGATTCGTTTCGGAGTTGCGAAAACTGAGAATAATTGCCTTCGGATCACCAGACTCGGGGATTGAATTAAGTGCAAGTGCTTGGAGCAAATTTTGTTTGAGTCCGAAAGATTCAAATGCGTGGTCAAAATCTGATCCGCAATCTGCGTATCGGATCGGCGTTGACAAAATCATCGCAGAATCCTTGCGACACAGGGAAGGAGTTTCCGTTCAGGTTTCTGCTAAACTCATCAACGGTTTGAATCATGTGAGATAATTTCCCCTTTTTTTGCCTCAAACGCTCGCAAATGCAAAATAAAAGGCAGCCAATTGTCACAATCTTGTGCTGAACTTCCTTTGATCAGTATGAACATAACTAACCGAGGTAAAGATTGAGGGGAGGAGAATTTGCTTTGATTATTGAACTAAATCCGTCAAGAAGCAGGTCGTTCGATTTTAGTTTATTATTAGTAATATATTTAGGATTTATAATTTATCATTCTCTCATTTGTGTCTGGCTCATTTAAAAAATTGCAAAAAATATTCTGCGATGCTACGATTCTCATTTTTGATATCCCTGGATGTCCTTTCATTTTCATCTCCGGTCTCCTTTCATTTTCATTTATCTGTTCAGCGTGAACTTCAGGATAAATTCTATGTGAAAATGTTCCATGAGTTTGTCTGTTATGTCTTATGTCCTTTCAGAAAGAAGCACTCCAACGGATTGGAGATGAAGATTTTCCTTTACATGCCATACCAGTGATATTGAAGGAGGTCTCAGCTGCCAGAGTAATCGTACAAAACATGGCCTCAAATCCCTTTTCACCAGTATCCCCAAGGGCTAGAGGGGGAGGAAAGCTTTCAGAAGAGAAGCGTGCTACTGATAAATCGGATGGCGAGGAATCGTCTTTCTCTTCGACATCGACCGGCCCCTTCGGCGACTACGACACGGATCTCAGTTCACCAATTTTGAAGTCTTCCAGTGGGCTTGTGAGTATCTGCGAAACTTCGTTGGACTTGCATTTCTCAGCGTTGCGATCATCGTTTATGCATTGCTGTGATTACTGAATACCGTAATATCATTCATTTTCTACAGGAAGAGCAGGATCGATTCGAAGAATCTTCAGGCGTATCATTCCAGAGAAGTGCGATTGTGTCCTTCGTTATTCAGCGCATGTCCTCGTTTTTCCAGCAGTATCCCAAGCAAAAGGAGGTACAGTAATATTTCTCGTCATGAAGTCTGGCTTTAGAATTTTCAGTTTCATGCGCAACCAGTGACTGTGATTATAACGTAGTACAGTACTGACATTTCTAGCTTTAAAGGTTTGGGTCTTCAAAAAATGAGTGAAAACATGGGAATACTGTCGACTTGAGGTGATACGAAAAATATTACTGGCTGTCTTGACGATTTTGTGAATTTTCAAGCACGAGTTTTTACGCAAGAACATTCAGTTTTGAAGTATTTGAAAGAATCCGACTTGAGGCTTTACGTTGCTTATCCGAAGGTATTCATGCCAACATCTTGGAGCGGAACTGAAGCCGAAAATGAGTACACGGAAGCGGTGATCAAGTGCCTCGGTGTTCCATGCATAGCGACTAATTCGTTGAAAAGCCCTACGAATGACAAAAAATTCTCTGATTCTCTTGACAATCGGTGGTCATCGGAAATCCTTCCATTTTGCGAATGCCTCCTGGGACTTTCTTCGGAAGAGCTACCGACAGAGTTGGCTGCGAACTGTGCTCTTGCGGCGCTGGAAGGGGCTAAAATGACGTCTGCTGGGGAAAAATGGCTGCGTAAAGTGGGAGCTACTTTTCAGTGGACTGTCTACGACATTCAGATGTGCATACGATGTTGTGCCGGATTGCTAAGCATACGTGAGGTATGGCTGCATTTCGCTAGCAACGGAAACTGGTCGGTTTCCGCGATTGAAGCCATTTTCGCTGTGGTGGAAAGTCATGCGAGAAACGCGCAAATCCCTCGGATTGAAACGCTTGGCAGAGGTGAAAAGTCCATTCAGTACCTACAATTATTATTTTCGGTCTTTTTAGGAAAAAAATTTTTTCAGCGTTTTATAAATTATTCGCGCTTCTTTTTTTCTAGAATTCGAATCTGTGGATCCCTCAGATCAATCGGTCTTGTCAGCATGTATTAAAGCTTCGCGATTGGCTCTATGGGTACATGCGTTACTCCAAGATTGCAGCAAACTGGACAGTTTCGAATGGAGCTTGTTGCCATTAGTTGCAGCACTGTGTCGCTTACCGGCAGTTTATGGGTTTGTCCGAATACCGTCAGATCTTCTTCAAAGTTTAGCGTTCCAGCATGTGACTGATAAATCTGGAAACACGTCTGCGCAGTTCGTTTGGAAAGATCGGTAAGATTTTTGTTTACTGTTGGTTTCAAAATGCTTCTAGTAAAATTTATTTTCTAGTTTTTTATTTTATTTATTTTTTTACTTCATGTCCTGTAAACCGCAGATAATTTCCTCAGTAATGTCTTTCGTAGGGTTGGAAAAGAATTGATTGTCACTTCGTTCTGTACATGATGAGGCATATTTTTTCGGAAGGCTTGAATCTCACTGGAAAGGAACTTTATCAAATGTTTGTAAAATATTTCTGATGCTTCCTGTTTGCAAATGAACTGTAGGAAAATTCCTTCTGCTCCTGCTGTTGCTTTCTCACACAACTTTCTACCAGATCTTCCTTTAGAGTGTTCAAGTGTTGG